AATAATTCTTCGACAATCATTCTAATGGGCGAAGTGAAGCTGAGCAATTTTTTCTTGACCATCGGACACTTGTTTTAAAATCCCACCATATCTTAAGTCGGAGGCATCGGTTTCAACTATCTTAGGTAAGGAAGGATCTGCTAAGTGAATGCGAGGGATATTTGTAACTCGATTCTTGATCTATTGCACTATGTAGGTGTGTTCATCGATCCGAAGAATAGGTTTCTTCTTTAATCTATCATGCGAAGGTTTTGCAATACGGTTGATGTTTGGACAAAAATCTAAAACATAATTCAAACTTCCTAAGAACCTTTGTAATCGGGTTTTGTCTAGAATCTTATCGGGAAATTTGTTTGCAAATTCTAAGGATCTTTCGATAGGAGAAATTGTTCCTTGGGTAATGTAATGACCTAAGAAACAAATGCGAGTTTGGAATAAAGAAATCTTAGATTTAGAAATGACCAATCCATTCTTTTTTGTTATATGGAAGAAGGTTTTGAGATGCTTAAAATGTTGTTCTATAGACATAGAATAAATAAGCACATCATCAATATAAACAATGCAGAAATCGGCATACATATGGGAAATATCATTCATAATCTTCGGAATTCGGAAGGAGCATTTTTCAATCCGAAAGGCATGACCTTCCATTCATACTGCCCAAACGAGATAGTAAAGGCGGTTTTGTATCCATCATTAGGGGTTATCTGGATTTGCTAGAAACTGACTTCATATCAAATTTTGAGAACACAAATGCACGATTTAATCTTTGTAAAAGGTCCTTTTTATTAGGGATAGGGTACCTAATCCATTTAAGGGCCTTGTTCAAAGGTTTGTAGTTGATGACTAACACTGGGGTTCCTCTTTCGATCTCGGCATTTTTATTGACATAGAAAGCTGCACAAGACCAAGGAGATCCGGATTTTTGGATAAGACCTTTGGTTTCTAAATCTTGAATTTCTAACCTACAATGTTTTTCTAGGTCGGCATTCATCTGAATACGTCCGGCTTTGGTAGGGATTTGTCGGTCATCAAATCATGTTTCATAGGGTAGGTCAACACTATGGTTTTTCCTATTCCGGAAAGCATTTGGCAAATCGAACAAATCTCTTTTTCAAGCATGTGTTGAAAATTTAAAATTTTGTTTTTTAGAAATTCATTTTGTAATTATCCTTGGATTTTGTGTAAAGAAACATCATATTTCAAATGCATCAAATGTCGTTGTTGGCCAAAAATCATAGCATTCAATTCAAAGTCGTAAATGGAACAAGCTTGGATGATGTTAAGATTCCTAGTTTTTGGTTTCTCAAGAAAAGGGAAAACAAGTGTTGTATTTCTATTTCTAAATGTTATGCAATCATGTTTCACAGAATAAGGAGTGATGAGATTAATGAAAGGTGTTCCTAAGATCACCATATGATGCATATTCTCAACAAGCGAGAAAATGATTTTTTATAGCAATGCTACCATTAACCACGGAGGCTTCTGTCTTACCATGTATGGTCATTTTAGAATTGTTTGCTGCAACATTTGTATGTATATGGAATCGGTTTGGAACAATGCTTTGCTTAATACAATTCAAATCGGCACTAGTATCAAACAAGGCAATTATATCAATTTTGTAATCATTATGGAATATAAGAGTAATCTTAATCAAATATTTCCTAGAAGTAATTTCACGAAGTACAAACAGGAAATCTTCGGAACGATTCTAGGTTTTCAAGGTTTGGCAATTCTTGGTCATTATCATGGTTTTCGAGTCGAGTTTGGCTTTTCGTCCGCTGTTTTTCCAACGGGGTTTTCAAGAGTTGGAGTCTCTATGTTGTTTTTCTTTGAGCTCTTTAAGCTCGTTTTGATGACCTTAATCTCGGATTGAAGGTCCTGAATTATGGTCATATGTTTTTTGGTCTTCTTCTTCCTGTCTAGGATAGCGGTAAGGTCATACGTGCTAGTACTAGTAGACGGCAAGATAGAAGGTTTTGGTTTGCTATGAGGGTTTTCTTTTACGGACTTTAAGAGTCCGTCTAGGTATTCTTTTTGTAATTGAGGATCATCAATCCTCTTGACAATGTCTAAAATGAGGTCTTGGTCTTTGGTTAAGACAACGACATGTTTCGGTATTGTTCCTTTGTAAGGAGCGATGATCATAGGTAATGGGGTTTTCCAACGGAACTTATTAATTTTAGGGACGGATTCTGTCTCGATTTTTGGTCTAAAACATTCACACTATTGGATAGAGGAGTATCGGGAGCTACATGCTTAGAGGTTCCCTCGGAAGATATTCCTATCTTACTAAGTTGGTCTCTAATGGCTTTGGCAAATTCGGGTTTGTTTGTTTGTATCTCGTTTTGACTCGATCTAGAAACCCGAAAGGGCTTGAAGATTGGGTTTTTAGCTTCGGTCTTTGGCTTCTACAGGAGCTAAGGAAACTACGGGTTTTGGGATAGGAGGAACAACTGTCTGCTGGATATGGGACTCGATCCTAACAAGTTCGTTTTCCTATGGTTTGGAGATTGGTATTGGTAAAATTGTTACGTTAAACAATGTTTTTGATGTTGACGGAATCATCATCTTTAAGGATTTTATAAGGACAAGCTTTTATTTTAGTTTCTCCATGAGAGAATGTCAATTTCCTAGGTGGCGGATGGTCGGACCGAATCATCCGTCCTTCCACTTCCCATGTAGGGGTTTTGTTCCTAACGATGACTCGGTTTCACGAGTCTTGAAAGGATAGGAAATATCATGTGCAGAAGCATAAATCTCAAACCAATCAAAGAATAATATATGAACTTTATAAGTATGCACAAATTCATAAAATTCGTTTTGTATATCCTTTTTGGCGGCCGAGAAAGTTTTTGAAGAACCAAATGCATTTTTCAAAATTGTGTTTTGCATAGAAATCATCATTCGGATATTGTTTATCTACTGTAAAACTATCATCGGACAAAGCATTACATTCATGTGCAATATTATCGGTGATAGCAGATGCGGTAGGAGATAAAGGAGGAGAATCCTCTTGGTTTGAATATCCGGGTTTTGGAATATGGGTACCATAATTGACGTTTTGTAAAGCTGGGTTAGGGACATCCGAGGTTGAAAACCTACGTGGTTGTCTAAGGGATGACGGACTTTGATCCAAGTACGTATCTCTCCTAACATTTGGTAAATTTATGACTGAAGGAATCTCATAAAATCTTCCTAGGTCATAAGTCATGGAACTAGAGGCAACATCAAAAAATCTACTACTTGGTAAATTTTACGTCAAACGAGAGTCTAACACTCCCATCCATTTGTTGTTCTATGGATCGGATTTGTGTGTTTGGTTTTAGGACCTCGGAACGGATAGAGATCCGGGTTTTGTAATACCTTCCAAGATCCATTCATCCGGTAGCACTTATGTCTTTCCACCTAATGGGTGCGGGAATAACGGTATTGGATTTGGTCGGATACTGTTTGCGGAAGAAGGGTTTCACCTTTGGTCGATTGCCTTTTATGTTTAGATGCAAATGCGGAATTCATTGTCTTGTAATGAATTTTTGTAATTAATGCAACTGGAATAGATCCATCCATCATATGATAATTATGAGTTTTAACTTGCGGAACCAAAGATTCAATAATATTTTTGTCATTCAAGGAAACGAGTAAAATTTGGATAACAATCAAAAGAAATAGGTCCACTACATAAACTAGACTCGATTGAACTTAACAAAGAGTCTTGAAAATTTGTAAACCTATTGTCTCTAAGGATTGCCGGGATTGAGGTATTCAATCCCTCTTTTGTAAGTGGTTTAATCCCCACTTGAACTAAACCAATATGAATGTATTTAAATCCTTTGTCTTTATGTTTTTGAATAGTTTTGGAAGACAGAAGATGAATTGTTTCAAATGGTTTTGAGAGCTGAATATCACGCTCCTCGGTTTTGATAGTGAAATCGGTTTTGAAAAGTCCATATTTCGTTGGTTTTGTAAATCTCATCTTTGTGAATCTTGGGTATTGCCCGATCATCAATTTGTTTTTCAAAATCTTCGATGACATATTCTACACTATTGATTATCTTCTTAGAATCGGAAGAATCGAAGCGAGAAGATGCGAGAAAGGAGGTAGATCTACGGAACATAGAATCCATACCTAAACTATGGTTTGGAGATTTTGGGTACGTAGGTTATGAAAGCGACTCCTCCGATTCTATCGCCCTATCCGTCGGGACTTACTACAGCATGCTAACTCGGTTGTCTATACCCTAGACTCTGTAACACAGAGCTAAACATGAAAACTATAAATCATAAATATACAACCGCACCAACAACTTAGGTTTCGTTGTAGAAGAACCCCATCGCATTTAATTTGACGTAAAGATGGTTGTGAGAATTAAATTTCTCATTGTAAAATGTAGTATTTGTTTACGTAGGCGCAAGTTTGTCTCAAACAACAAAAGTTTTTTTAAAAAAAATTATAAAAGTATTTTGGACCGGATTAGAGGCTTCTTATAATTACTTAAAATCATTATAATTATAAAAATGGCTTTAATGTTACAAAACAATAAGATTGATTTTAGGATGTTATAAGTGTAAATACTTATTAATTTGTAATCACTTTCAAATGGTTTTTTAACAATTCAATTGATATCTTTTTTCATTCTAAAAAAATTTATAGAAATTTTACTTAATTATTTGTAACTATTGCAATTACAGAGTAGTTGGATAAATTACGAAAGATGAATCAATTTAATTATTTGTAATTCAGTATTTTTTAAAAGATAAAAACATTTTGTGGATTAGGTCCTCGTGAATTAAGACTTGATCTGTTTTTCCTGAAGAAACCACCACCACCACCTTTTGTGAACTCGAAGTAAATGCTGAAGTGAAGCAAAACTGGTTCGTTCATAAATTGTGGACCACACGTAAACAAGCGGACCAGACAGTGGGCACGTAAAGAGTGGTATTGGCAAGGCAGGCATAAGAGAAAAGGAATTAATAAAATTGATTTGAAACCAAAAGAAATGCAGGCATTGGCAACAGCATGCTGTAATGTTATTGGAAGGCAAAGAACACAGCTCCATTCTTTCCTTCCATTTCCAAATCAAATTCGATCCCTCACCTCTGGTCACCCTCTCCAAACATTCAAATCATATCCACCTGGTACTCATCGTCTGACCCAACTTCACTTGTACATTAATTTGGTTTAATTTGATGCTATTCTTATTACTGAATACTTTTTCCAACTTCTTAATTTGCAGCGTTTCGACATCCAATTCGGGCAATACATGAGGCAACCGTGGCGCCTATGACTAGCAACAAAGAAAATCAGCCACACCCTCAAAATTGGAAAATTAAAATGCTTTTCGATGGAGATTGCCCTCTTTGCATGCGTGAGGTCACCTCTCTCTCTCTCTCTCTCTCTCTCTCTACACGTACATTCTTTGTTCCTATCTTTTCTTTAATTCAAGCTTATATATATACTAAATTATGTGTGTTTAATTATGTTGTCAGGTTAATATGCTAAGAGAGAGGAACAAAAGCTATGGCACCATAAAGTTTGTTGACATAAGCTCAGATGAGTACTCTGCAGAGGAGAATCAAGGCCTCGACTACAAAACTGTATGTCAATCAACTATTTTCGTATGTTTCTTTCATTTCAGAATTATAAGATTCCAGATAAAACCTTCGTATGTAACTCTCACATCCCTATCTACAAATATTAACATCCTGCCCTGTATCGTATGACTTGATTGACAGTGATTTTTGGGTGAATTCGCAACTCCATGTCTATCTGATTAGATATACAAATTTCTTTTTTTTTTTTTTGGTTGTAGCATAACTTAACATCTCTACACACTTTAGAGGACCCGCTTTGTCGTGACAAATGCCTTTTGTTGTGTAGGTTATGGGAAGAATTCATGCAATCCTTTCTGATGGAACCGTGGTTACCGATGTTCAAGTATGTCTGATCCTAGTCTTTATCATTTCTTTGTATTGGATTAGTAGGATACTTAATTTGCTGTTTGGATTAGGAGTCTGAAACTGTCTTCCGTTTCCACATGCTTGCGATCGCACGCCCACATGGGAAAAGAAACCTGCACCACTGAATATCATTTCCATTCGTCATATAGAATGTATGGGAATTTGACAAGTATTGTGAAGGTTTATAGCTACTGTAAAAGCTAGAGATCTAGTACTGCTGTTGGAGCTTAAACTTGAGCATGGCCTATCCATGAGAAAACGGAGTTCTACATTTCATAAATTTTGGGTCTTAAATTCAATATATACTCTTTCTTTTTTGTTGTGTATATAGCAAGCTTTAATGCTGGCGATGGAAGTCAGTCAGGGCCTCCCTTTAGGCACCTAACCCTTTCAATTATCTGACCAGAGAGTCTAACTGAATTGATCAATATCTGATTAGACTAATTTCTGATTCAGACTTTGTTGCATCTGCTATTGCTCTGTAAATAATGCTGTTGATTATAGATACAATAACAGAAAAGACAAGACTCGTGATATTGACAATTTCTGCAGGCATTCCGAAAATTATATGAACAAGTTGGTCTTGGATGGGTTTATGCCATTACTAAATATGAACCTGTAAGTGTCATTCTTCATGATACAAATGGTTTTTAATGGTCTGTTGCTTTCATTTCTGGAACCTCTGATTTTGTTTTCATACTATTAACTTAAAACCATCCAATTTGCAGATTGCAACAATAGCTGATGCTATATACAGTGTGTGGGCTAAATATCGTCTGCAAGTTACTGGTAATTACATGATTCATTTGCTGCTGTGATTTTTGGCTACTATGATTCTGCTCCATTTTCATGGTGTTATTCATTGAGTATTTAATGGCAATGGCTTTGGTTTTAGGCCGACCACCTTTGGAGGTAATCTTGGATGCGAGAAAGAAGAAGGTAAGAATATGCAGCTGGATCAATTTCCTTATTTCTATTATCACTCAACTAAATTCTGAATATGTTTTCCATGTTTCTATTATTTTACAAGAACTGTTTCACAAAAATACGGTCAATGATAAAAAATACAGGAGACAACTGATGTATTCAAAGATAGTAGATTTAACAATCATGTCGAATGCAGTAGTTGAAGAATAGGGTTTACTGACCTGAATTTTGAATCAAACTTCTTCAAACATTTTGTCTTTTCCAATAAATAGCTAAACCATCCACAAACTTAGCCTGAAGAGACTTTTGAGAACTCACGGTAGCTGTATATTACAATTTACCTTGTATGAAAATTGAATTTCATATCATATATGAATCCTCTCTACAGTTGCGTTCCAGCAACCCTTACTGTACTGGATTCACTAGGGAGAAAACCCATACATGTAACTCCCTACCCTTCGTAAATACCTGGCAAATTTCTTCTGTGACGGACAGCATTCAACCTCATGCTAGTGCTTCACTGAACCATTCAGAGTTTTGAGGTGGTGAACTCCAAAATACTTGTGGGAAAACCTGGAATATTTCTGTCATCTAAAGTTTATTTCTCCATTAGCTTAATATGAATACAGATTCCTTCCTCTGATTGTGCTTAACAAAGTGGTTCTGCATGTACATAGCTCTCATCTGGAAATGATCAGGTGCTTATATGAAACATATATGGTGCTGATATATGGGTGGTTTTATTGTATTCTTGCAGGATGAAATATGTAATGACAGCAATGCTTGTAAGATGTGAACTTTATTCCAAGGTGCCAGTGATCAGGATTTTGATGGACTCTTTCATACCTATGTAAATTTTTATTGTGCCATCTTTTGAATCTGACCTTCATGTGATCTCATAGCTACGCTAGCCAAAATCTGAGACAAATATGTGTCAGATAATTACTTTGTAGTTCTGCTTCTATATATATGCTTTGTTACCCGAAAGTCAATGTGAATTTTGAACTTTTGCATGTCTTTCGTAACTATAGCATCAACATTTTGCAATTGTAGCAATGTGTTTACAGATTGCGACATTCCAATTGCTTTAAGATAAAATTCAAGTCTGTGGAACTGCATGCCATAACCCACAACCTTTGTGTATGCCAATGTAAATGGTTGTAAGATTGAGTTCCCTATTAGCGTGGTGATCATCCCAATCCCCTTTTGTTCATTGTTCCCATTAAGCCATTTTGAAGTTACGATATACCCTTTGTTTTAATATTGTTCTTTTCTTTTCTCCTCTTTTCTAAAGTTTCTGCTGAAACCATTCAAAAGAATGGCTATGTCAGACGCTGCTTCTGTTATATTATAGTATAGGAAATCCTTAGCAGGTCTAAATATGCGGGAAAATTTGCATGTTTGGGTTATCAGATCTGTTGCTGTTATTTTTTCTCTCTTTTTCTGGTGTTCAGAAGCAGACCCGCCTCTGCAGATGCATGGACGCTCTTCAACCTGCAATATTATTCTCGCCCATCAAAATGAATTTGGTCAAGACCAAGTTTCATGGTATGGTCGATTTGTAATTTTCAGGAGTAAAAATATCTAAAAGACCTCTCAAATTTGTATGTTTTGAAAAATATGTGATCGTATTCATTAGCTAAATAAGTTCATTTTATTAGATTCATCAAGCAATACATACAGTTATGCTTTCTTCCCTTCCAGCAACTTCGCAACAAATTTGTTGATATTCATGTCAGAAGCCCCACCTGCACTCACAGCTCTCTTGGCAAGCTCTCTCCATTTAGAAGCATTCCTCTTAATTTCTTCACCACTCTCTACGTCCATTACCTGTCGTACGCACTTTTCAAGTTCCTTTCTTGTTACGATACCCGCTTTATCTTTCTGAGCTCTCGCTCCCACCTTCCATACCTCCTCCACAAACTTAGCATTCGTTGGCTGGTCAACCCCCTGCGTCACACATACCATGGGCACACCAAGGCCTAACCCCTCTAAGGTTGAATTCCACCCGCAATGTGTTACGAAGCAACCGATAGCTTGGTGGGCTAGAACCTCCAGTTGATTGCACCATGACACAACCATCCCTTTCTCACCTACTGAGTTTAGAAACTCAATTGGTAACTTGATTTCTGATTCCTTCATGACCCATAAGAAGGGCCGGTTGCTTGCTTTCAAACCCCATGCCATTTCTTCAACCTGCTCAGCTGAAATGCTTCCCATGCTTCCGAAAGACACATATATCACTGACCTTGCTGGTTTGGTGTCTAGCCATGTGAAGCACTCACTGCTTGTTGGCTTCCAAAGACTAGCCCCATAAGCGATATCTCCATCAATTGGTCGGTCAAGGTAGGCAGATGGCAGCATTGGACCGACCATCACCAGCGGCCACTTCCCTAGCATGGCCTTTACTAGCTTTTCAACCGTCAAAAGCAGTGAACAAATCAGAAATTAACTAAAACGGAAATTTAAACCATAGATAAAACACTTGAAACTATCTTTGGCGCTGAGTGACAAGTAATAGTTGAACAGAATCTGTGATTTAGAGTTGGTTGTCCTTTAATCCCAGATAGTCTATGCATGATGTCTTTCCCTTAGTTATGCTAGAAGTTCCACTTCACTAGCCCTAATTAATCAGCCTCTCTCAGAAAAGCATTGACATGTTTATATTTTAAATAAGTCGTTTACTTGAGCATCAAAGCTAAATGTGAACAAATAATTAAACTCGGTTACCTCGACCTCCAGATCTTCAAAGGAATTGCAGAACACCCAATCATCTTCATTTAAACTGTGAAATTTCTCCATGACTGCTGCCAAATAAGCAGTCTGACTTGTTGGGTGTGCCAGAAAACTTGGCAAATCGCAGAAGCCTAGTGGAGGAAGGCCAGGCAGGGACACGGTCGTGGTTTGTTGGTTCAGAGGCAGAGTCAGGAGGCCATGATCAATTTGCCAAAACATGGAGCAGACAGAAGCTGAGGTGGTCATGAACACAGCAGCATATATGCCAAAGTTTGTAGCCACATCAAGAGCCCAAGGCAGCATTGAATCATACACAACACAGTTAACGGGTGAACCCGAGGCATTGAACTTCAATATGAGTTCAGTTAAAGTTCTTGAACCGACAGTTTTGAATGACTCTAAGTAGGCTTCCACACTTGATGCGTGCTTGAAGCCACCTTCATCAAAGCCATCGGAGATGGGTTCAACGCCTACTGTGGGTGCATCAATTGAGTTGGAAGTGTAATAAGTGGTGGCAACAGTGGCCTTCAGTCCTTTGGAGGCCAAGCGCTTTGCAAACTGAAGGAGAGGGTTTATGTGGCCTTGAGGTGGATAAGTAAGAACAATGACATGAACATTTTGGTTGTCCATCACCCTAATGTGTTGCTGTTATTGCTGCTGTGCTAGGTTATACTGAATGTTTATTATTATTATTATTATTATTATTATATAGGCCTTTGCTTGGGGTTTGATTTACTGTTTGGCAGTGGAAAATGGTGGTTCAATGTTGAAAAGTGGGATTTCTGTTGGCACTTGTAAATTGTTTTTCTTTTTTTAAATGAACATAAAATTATACTACCTCATAAATGACTGGTCTACATGCTTGTATGACCCGGAATTGGAAAACTGCATATAGACCAGTCATTATATGAGGTAGTTTTCCAATTCCGGGTCATACAAGCATGGCCCCCTTCTTTCTCATTGGATACCTTATTATTACTTCATCACTATGATAAGATCCAACATTCCAACGGAAGAACAAATAGAAAAACACACGATTTTGTGATAGATTCAATACTGATATGAGTTTTATTCAATGAAAATACAGATCAGTTTTACAATGATTAAGAAACAATTACACCCTAAGAACATAATGAAAAGACGTTTTACAGATGAGAAGCAGAGAGAAGAAACCAGAAAGAAATCAGAGAGGAAACAGAGAGAGTGGATGCCAAAAATGAATCAATGCTTCTCACGTGTTTTCCTCCCCAATTTATACCGTTTCTGTTTCCCTCATAACTGACTACTAACCATTTCCACGTCAGCTACTAATCTAACAAACTCCACATCAGCTAGCTGATTTCCTCGCCACGTGCGAACACTTACTCTCCCATACATGCGCGCTTTCAATTCTTAATCGGCAATCTTCAAAAGCCATTCCCAGAAATTTCCCAGCACCAGGCAATCTTCAAGCCCTCTGCCAACTGCTCCTAACAATACCTCCCCCTTAAAGCACCTTGACCCCAAGGTCAAAATCAGGGAAACGCCTTGCCAGATCAAAAGCAAACTCCCACGTAGCGTCAGTAACAGAGCCGGTAGACCATTGAATTAGCAACTTAGTGGCAGCCCGATTGCCTCTCTTAACCATCTTCCGATTCAATATAGCTATCGGTCGAACGTCGTCAGGCGAATATGCAGGGAGCTGTGGCTGCACTACCACCTGTCCATAAGCAGGTTTAAGCTGGGATACATGGAATGTTGGGTGAATCACGGAGCCTGGAGGTAGTTGCAAGGTGTAAGCAACCTCCCCCACCTTATCCACTATCTGAAAAGGTCCATAGTACTTAGGGGCAAGCTTTTGACTCTTCCTGGCAGCGACAGACTGTTGCCTAAGCTTGGAGCTTCAAATAAACCCACTCACCAATCTGGAAAACCCGCTCAGTCCTTTTCTTATCAGCTCGGGTCTTCATCCGATCCTGAGCCTTGAGCAGCTGATTCTTCAACAAGGTCACCACCTCCTCCTTATCCTGTAACAACTGATTCACAGTAGGCTCTTTGCAATCATTGGATAGATAAGGAAGATGGATAGGAGGAGCATAGTCATATAAGGCTTCAAAAGGGGATCGTCCGATGGCAGAATGGTAAGAGGTGTTGTACCAGAATTCCGCCAGACAAAGCCATTTGCTCCAAGACTTAGGAATATTCGAACACGTGCATCTCAAATAGGTTTGTAAACACCTATTAACCATTTCAGTTTGGCCATCCGTTTGAGGATGGTAAGCTGTAGAAAAATGAAGTGAGACACCTTGATAGGCAAAAGGTTCCTTCCAAAACCTACTGAGGAACACGGAATCCCTATCAGAAACAATGGTGCTAGGGAGGCCATGAAGCTTAAACACATTCTCCATGAAGGATTGAGCGACGGAGTGAACTGTGAAGGGGTGTGCCAAGGCCATGAAATGGACATACTTGGACAACCTGTCTACTACCACAAAGATCACTGACTTACCATTAGAAGTAGGCAGGCCTTCTATAAAATCCATGGAGATGTCTGTGAATGTAGCCGTAGGTACTGGTAATGGTTGCAACAACCCAGGAGAGGCCACTGTCTCATACTTGCATTCTTGATAAATTTTACACTGCCTCACATACTCTCGAACATCTCTTCGCAACCCCCTCCAAAAAAACAATGAAGCCACCCTCTTGATAGTGCCCTTAATTCCAGAGTGACCTTCTGTACTAGAATCATGGCACATAGCTAAAAGGTCCTTATATAATTCTCGATTTCTGCCAACCACCAGTTTTCCCTTTCTTCTTAAGTTGTGGTTCTGCCATGTAAATTTGGAATGACTGTTACCCGATTGTTGCAGCTGTGTTATCACTGCCTTTAGCACCTCATCCTCCTGCCATGAAGCTTTGATTCGCTCCATTAACTCAGTAGAAATAAAAGATAAGGCTAAGGTGGACAATTGCACTCTTGACAGAGCATCAGCCACCCGATTTTCTTTGCCCTTTTTATACACTATATCATAATCATACCCCATCAACTTCACTAACCATGTGAATTGGCTCTCAGTATGGACTGTCTGCTCCAGTAGATGTTTCAAGCTTTGGTGATCGGTCCTAATGGTAAAATGCTTATGCATCAAATATTGATGCCATTTTTTGACAGCAAAGAGAATAGCAATGAGCTCTTTCTCGTATACTGATAAGACCTGATGTTTAGGAGCTAATATCTTACTGATGAATGATATGGGATGACCCCTCTGCATCAGCACCGCACCAATTTCATTTCCAGAGGCATCTATCTCTATGGTAAACTCTGCGTCCTAATCTGGCAAGGCTAGCACTGGAGTGGAAGTCATAGCCATCTTTAGATGTTCAAAAGCTTCCTCAGCTTCAGCACTCCATTTGAAGGCATCTTTCTTAAGCAAGTCGGTCAATGGCTTTGCAATACGACCATACCCTCTCACAAACCTCCTGTAGTAGCCCGTGAGACCCAAAAATCCCCTCAGCTGCTTGAGATTATGTGGCCTAGGCCACTTTCGAACCACCTCTATCTTACTAGGGTCAGTTTGAACCCCCTCCTTAGAGATGTAATGACCCAAGTATTCCACCTTTGGAGTGCCAAAGGTGCATTTTGATTCTTTGGAAAAAAAAAGTGTTTTCTTTTAGAACATACAATGCAATTTTTAAATGTTGTTCATGCTCAAGAAGTGACCTACTATACACTAAGATGTCATCAAAGAAAACTAGAATGAATTTCCTAAGGTAAGGTCTGAAAATTTCATTCATGAGTGCTTGAAAAGTGCTAGGGGCGTTAGTTAACCCAAAGGGCATGACCAAGAACTCGTAATGACCACTATGAGTGCGAAAGGCTGTTTTAAAAATATCATTGGGGTGCATTCGAATCTGGTGGTAACCCGCTCTTAAATCCAGTTTTGAAAAAATCACCGAACCATGCAATTCATCTAAGAGTTCTTCGATGATTGGAATTAGAAAGTGATCCCTTACAGTGATATTATTGAGCTTCCTGTAATCAACACATAACCTCCAATATTTGTCCTTCTTCTTAACCAGAGCTATAGGTAAGGAGAAAGGGCTCACACTGGTTCTAATTATGCCTTCCTCCAACATGCTCTGAACTTGCTTTTCGATTTCATCCTTCTGAACCGCACGATATCTGTATGGCTTTGTGTTCACTGGCTCAGCCCCCTCCTTAAGCATAATTTTGTGATCATGGAATCTGTGAGGGGGTAATCCTTTAGGATCTTTGAACGCTACTGCAAATTTCTCCAGTATCTCCCATAATGATTCTAGCAGTAGAGGTTGTGATCCCAACTCGTTTCTTTCTGGCCCCTCAATTATATGACTCATTGGATACACCTGCACCCAATTCAATGATTATTGCTTACAAATAGCCTTATCCATCTCCTGTTCAGCTGCACTTTTAATCGACTTGGCCTTTTTCCCATTCAGCATGAATGCTGAACCTCCAATCAGGAACTTCATCCACATATCTTTAAAGTTCCAAGTGATGTCTCCCAAATCATATAGCCATGATATTCCCAAAATGACCTCATACACTCCCAAAGGCATCACCAGCACTGTTGTTTCAAACTCCCTACCTTGCATCCTCCATTGAAATTTTTTACAAACATACTCGCATACAATATCTCCCCTATCGGCTACCTTCACTGCCACAGGTGCTATCTTAACCAGTTGGCACCCATTCTTTTTGGCAAACCCCAAGTCCACAAAGTTGTGTGTGCTGCCCGTGTCTATAAGTATGTTCATCTTCCTTCCACCCAAACTCCCTAATACTTTCATTGTTTGATAGCGCTCCCCACCCAACACAGCATACGTGGAGATCTTATACAACTCAAGGTTTAGATTGTCAGGATTATCAACTTGTTCGATTGCCTCGTTCATCAGTTCCTCATCCATATCAGTTTCCCCAGTATTGTCAATCTCCAACATAAACACTTGCTTGCCCTTACAATTATGGCCTGGAGTATACTTGTCATCACAGTAGTAACACAGGCCTTTAAGCCTCCTCTCCTCCAATTCACGGCTACTAGGTAACCTCCTTGTTTTAAACATGGAGTTACCATTTTGGAACTGTGCTGGTAGCGTAAGCAGGCCTTTTTGGTTATAACTTTATGCATTTTGGTTGCGTAGCTGGTTCTGTGGTGGAGCTGGATTGTTATTTTTGGAGAATTGGTTGTAGCTAGGTTTAAAGGTATTTTGGAATGTATTTTGGTGGGAAGGTCTCGGGTTGGATGTAGGAATATATCTGCTGGTCCTATGGGTTTGGTACTGATTATTTGGATTTGTTTCTTGTAATTTGGCTAAAGATACGGCTTCCTTAAGTGTTTTAGGCTTCATTACCCTCACTGACACCTGCAACTCAGGCCTTAAACCTCCAACAAAGCAACTGATTATGTATTCTTCCGGCAGCACCAGTTTGTTTATCACTGATACAAACCTTTTCAGGTAAGTTTGCACATCATGCTCCTGTTTCATTCCCATCAGTTCTGTCATTGGATCACTAAACATCATAGAACTGAACCTGATGCTCATAGCCTCTATATAGTCTCCCCATTTAATGACAGTATGTATACCATTCATGCGTACGTATACCTGATGCCGCTCCAATGCCTCATCCTCCAGATGAATTGCGGCTAGATTCACCTTAGCTTCTTCAGGGGTTCTATCATACAAAAAAAAAACTTCTCACACCTGAACACCCATCCGTCAAAGTCTTCACCACAAAACTTAGGAAATTCCACTCTAGATACCCTACTATTAGGTAGGTATCCATATTGATCCCCACTGACCCCTCCGAAAGCATAAACTCAATGGTTAATTCCCCCACACCTCATATTATCGTTTAGACCTAGATTTCCCCCATTATTATGACCACTACACTCTTCTAAGTTTCCCGATCCTCTAGGTTCCTTCATTGCATCTTTCAACTGTGCGAGGTCAGATTCATGCTTATCAAATTTATCATTAAGAATAGAGAGTACCTGAGACATTTGAGCCATTGTCTCTTCCAGCTTCTTCAACTCAGCATTAGCTTTTGCCATTTTGATCCTGATTATACTCACAGGTGCAAGAATCAAGCTCTAATACCACTTGATAAGATCCAAAATTCCAACAGAAGAACAAATAGAAAAACACACGATTTTGTGATAGATTCAATACTGATATGAGTTTTATTCAATGAAAATGCAGATCAGTTTTACAATGATTAAGAAACAATTACACCCTAAGTACAGAATGAAAAGACGTTTTACAAATGAGAAGTAGAGAGAAGAAACCAGAAAGAAATCAGAGAAATCAGAGAGGAAACAGAGAGAGTGGATGCCAAAAATGAATCAGTGCTTCTCACGTGTTTTCCTCCCTAATTTATACCGTTTCTGTTTCCCTCATAACTGACTACTAACCATTTCCACGTCAGCTAGCTAATTTCCTCCCCACGTGCGAAAACTTACTCTCCCATACGTGCGCGCCTTCAAGTCTTAATAGGCAATCTTCAAAAGCCATTCTCAGAAATTTCCCAGCACCAGGCAATCTTCGAGCCCTCTGCCAACTGCTCCTAACACACTACCTGCCCAGTAGATACAATACAACAATGGAAAAACCAAAAAGCGAGATTCTGCAAGAATTTTCAGCCCAAAAGATCCTGAATAGTCATTTTACTCGCTCCGATACATTCATCTTTCAGTTTCGGGTACACAAGTGGGGGCACCTTTCTTTCAGCCTCTGCCCCAAGAATTTTATGCACCAAATACGACTTTCATTAGAACCACCCACCAGACATCGAGAGATACAGTTGCTACCAATGCTCGAGGTTTCTATGCTAATTAGTTTGAAACTCGGACAGACACTGACGTTAGTTCTCTAGTTTTTTTTTTTCTCTCTCTCTCTCTCTTTCTTTCTTTGTTGTGATTTGCTTTGTAGAAAGGCAAGCTCACTTCTGGAGATGGATGATCCGATATTTTCAACCCTGCAAGATGTTAACTATACACACCCATCACAGGTACTGTATTATCCAAGAACACGTCCTTCTTTGCTAAATGTCCACTGAGTTCTAAGAGCTCAAATGACAACTTGTTTTCTGAATCGTTAAAGTAAGTCACAGGAAAGGATTGTTGCAATTGCTTTCAGCCCCCATGCTAAAGCAATGAACAGATTATAAATATGTTTAGCTGTGTAATTACTAGCCAGGATATGAAACCTTAAACCTCAAACAATTCGGCTTTGCCATGTATAATTCAGTGATGGCATGACCTCTGCAGTCCTAAAATTTATTGGTGCTGGTAAGTGGTTGTCCACTACAATCCACTCTCGTTGAAAGATTGCTCTCTTTTACCTCCAGAACGTATGACGTCTTTCTTTTGGCATTACTCTCGCTTTACCAGCCCTCGATTAGCCTCTACTCTCAAAAATATTTTCAAGTTATTTAGAAACTGGTTAATTAAGCATATAGGTATGCATGAATAAAATCCAGTCACCTCAACCTCAAGAGTCAAGATCTTCAAAGGAATGTGTTAGGCCCTTGCTAGTGTATACAAGAAGAAAGGCTAATAGCAGAAAGAATAAGAGCCCAAGAACTAAAGCTTCAGGCCCAGACGAGTAGAAGAAGATTTTTAGAATGTTTTGCTGATGTATCATTTATGTTTCTCTTTCTGTTATTGAGTCATGGTGTTGATACGATTCTGTTAGGACATGTGTGAGGTGTGCTACTGCAGGTCATGATTGGCTGGGTAGGGGATTTTATCTTTTTCTTTTTACTGAGTCATATATATATATATTGTGGGGAAGGAGAGAGGGAGGGGCAGGGGTCATTATTGTAATGGGATCTCAGTTGAGATTATTAGGAGGGTCGCAGCCCCTATAAGTGCTGTTGGGTTATGTTTCTGTCATTGAATTCTTCAATACAATCATCAATTCTTCCTTTCTCTTCCATTTAATCTCTTTTTCGTCTCTTTCTTTTATTCACATTGATTGTATCCTATCATTTTGGTATCAAAGCAGTTCTGATCTCTGTTGTTGATGACCAAAACAAGAATGGAGAATCGCATGGAAATGATGGAGAAGGGACTTGCAGAAATCCCCACACTTAAGACAAACCTGACCAAGGTAGAGACAGATCTGGCAGAGATGAAGACTCTCCTCTCAATGATGGCTCAACGCCTTGAGGACCTTACCCAGTCATTTCCTCGGGCGGGGATACATGGAGAATCCAGCTCTGCTGCTGCAAACAATCCCGACAACAGTCCACCCATCCCAGACACTGAAACCTCACCCAACCACCCCATCCCACCTGGAGAAACAACCAACCTAAACACTGAAACCAACCAAACACGGGACACCGATTCTATCCAGATCCCTTCTCAACCTTGGGATAAGGATAGGTTGCCTAGGAAGCTTGAGCTTCCGGTATTCGGGGGAATGGAGCATGAAGCATGGATATTCCGAGCGGAACGTTATTTTGCGTTGAATCGCCTTACAGAGGCAGAGAAAATAGAGGCGGCTGGGATTTGCTTCGAAGGGGAGGCACAAGCGTGGTTGCGTTTCGAAGAACGAACCATGACCTTCATTACTTGGAGCCAGCTTAAGAATCAGATGTTGCAGCGGTTCTTGGGTCAGGCTGAAGGGGCGCTTTTGCATCGACTGTTTGCATTACGGCAGATAGGCACGGTGGCAGACTTCAGAGCGCAGTTTGAAATGCTGGCTGCGTCAGTAAGACAGCTAGACAAGCCCACTCTAACTGCTGTATTCACTAATGGGCTAGTGGATCAGGTGCGGGCTGAACTTTTCCTCTTAAGCCCAAACGGCTTGAAGGAGACTATGGAGGTTGCAACAAGGATTGAAAGAAAGAATGTCATGCTCCAGCCTGGTTCGTCACCAAAAGGGCTCCCCTCAAACCCAAATAAACCTGAAATGAAAACTATCTCCTGGACCACTTCCAAAAACCTGACCAACCCAACAACACAACCATCTCAAACCTCTCAAACCCGTAGCTCAGCATCCTCCAATCAGCCTATCAATCAAGGCCCAATGAGGTCGATTAGCCAAACCTGTCAAGGCTCCAAATTCAAACGCTTGACTCTAGCTGAAGCTCAGAGCCGACGAGAAAAGGGGTTGTGCTACAAATGTGAGGAGCGTTGGCATGTAGGGCATAGGTGCAAAAATTGAGAACTTAATGTGATTTTGGTGAGTGAGGAGGAGGAGAATCCGGACTCTTTGTGTGATACTGAACAAGAGTTGAGTCCCGTACGTGGCGTGGAGCTTTCCATGAATTCGGTTGTGGGGTTAACCGAGCCTCGCACTTTACGCTTGAAGGGGATGGTTCTTGGAGAAGAGGTGACAGTGCTAATCGATTGTGGCGCTACACACAATTTCATAGCTATGGAATTAGTTGAGAAGCTTGAGATTCCCATCTCGAAGACAACAAATTATGGGGTGATGGTAGGCAACGGTCAACAGATGAGGGGGAAGGGGATTTGTAGAGCAGTGGTGCTAGAGCTGCAAAGGGTGACTGTCGTTGAAGATTATTTGCCAATTCAAATGCGAAGTTCAGATCTGATATTGGGAATCAAGTGGCTGGCCACGTTGGGAGTCACAAAGGCAGATTGGAAACACTTAACTCTATCTTTTGAGATGGGTGGTAAACAAGTAGTCCTTAAGGGAGACCCCAGCCTCTGTAAATCATTGGTGTCTTTAAAAACCATGGTGAGAGAGTTACATGGAGGGGAGGATGGGTACCTGGTGGAACTGTGTTCGCTAGGGATACACGAAGCACCGGGAGAGGAGATTCCAAGTGAGATACATGAAGTGCTGAGTGCTTTTGAAGACTTGTTTCGCTCCCCTAATGAGCTGCCTCCTACTAGAAATCAGGATCACTCAATTGTTCTTAAGGAAGGAATAGAGCCAATTAATGTCCGACCCTACCGCTATCCCCACTTTTAAAAAAATGAGATCGAGCGTTTGGTCTCTGAAATGTTGGAAGCAGGCATTATACGGCCAAGTGTTAGTCCTTTTTCGAGCCCGGTCCTTTTGGTTAAAAAGAAAGATGGAAGCTGGAGGTTTTGTGTAGACTATCGAGCTTTGAACAAGGTTACAGTGCCAGACCATTTTCCCATACCGAACATCGATGAACTACCAGATGAGTTACACGGAGCCCGGTTCTTCACGAAGTTAGATTTGAAATCGAGGTATCATCAAATCCGTGTGAGAGAGCAAGATGTGCACAAAACAGCATTCCGCACTCACAAAGGGCAATACGAATTCTTAGTGATGCCTTTTGGCCTCACTAACGCCCTAGCCACCTTCCAAGCCTTGATGAATTCCATCTTCAAGGGCCTGCTGAGGAGGTATGTACTTGTTTTTTTGATGACATCCTGATTTATAGTTCCTCCATGTCAGATCACTTGCGGCATCTAGCGGAAATCCTCAGAATCCTGCGGGATAACCAGCTGCTGATCAATAAAAAGAAGTGCAGCTTTGGCCAGCAGCGTCTTGAATACCTCGACCACATCATTTTCAAAGATGGGGTTATGGCAGATCCAGAAAAGCTGAAAGTGATGAAGGACTGGCCAAAACCCCGTAACCCAAAAGAACTGAGGGGATTTTTGGGGCTCACGGGGTATTACCGCCGCTTTGTCCACGGGTATGGCAAAATTGCAGCCCCACTGACCAAACTATTAAAAAAGGATGGTTTTATTTGATCCGAAGAAGCCATTGAGGCAGTGAACCGCTTAAAGGAAGCTATGTTGAGTGTGCCGATGCTGTCCTTGCCAGATTTTCATGAAGTCTTTGTACTTGAAACTGATGCGTCAGGATATGGGATTGGGGCTGTTTTATCACAGCAGGGCCGACTGATAGCCTTTATCAGTCACGCATTGTCGAACAGTGCTCGACAAAAATCAGTATACGAAAGAGAGCTTATGGCGATCGTCTTCATCGTGTAAAAATGGAGACACTACTTACTTGGGCGCCATTTCCTTATCAAAACTGATCAGCGCAGCCTGAAATTTTTGTTTGAACAGAGAATTGTTGCCCCGGAATGTCAACAGTGGATGACAAAGTTGATGGGTTACAGCTTTGAAATACATTATAAGCCGGGAAAAGAGAACCTTGCAGCGGATGCTCTCTCCCGGGTGCCTACCCCAATAGAACTGCAGAACATTACACGGGCGACAATTCTGGATTGGCAGGAGTTAAGACACGCTATAGAGCAGGACCCAAAGTTATCAGTCTTACTAACAGAGCTACAGCAAGACCCGTCAGCGAAGGCTGGTTGGCACCAACAGCAGGGGCTGTTGTATTATAAGGATAGATTGGTGATTCCAAAATATTCTACGCTGAAGCAGAAGCTCTTAACTGAGTTCCATTGCACTCCGCTTGGTGGCCATGGCGGTTTCTTGAAAACCTATAAACTTCTAACTAAGGAGCTCTTTTGGGAGGGAATGAAATTAGATGTCCAAACTTTTGTTGCTTCCTGCGTGATCTGCCAGCAAATGAAATATGAGACTCTCTCTCCTGCCGGCCTGCTCCAGCCTCTTCCTATTCCCGTGGCTATATGGGAAGACATCAGCATGGATTGCCTTGAAGGCTTTCCCAAGTCCAATGGCTATGACTCTATCTTGGTGGTAGTTGATCGACTAAGTAAATACTATCATTTCATAGCCCTGAAACACCCATTTACAGCGAAGAAAGTTGCGGAGGAATTCGTGAATGTAGTGGTGCGCTTACATGGCTTCCCTCGATCGATTGTCTCGGATAGAGACAGAGTCTTCATGAGCCACTTCTGGACTGAAATGTTCAGGCTGCAGTGGACTCATTTAAACCGTAGCACTGCCTACCACCCTCAAAGTGATGGGCAGAGCAAGGTCGTCAACCGCTGCTTGGAAACTTATCTTCGCTCCTTTGTCACTTCCAAACCTAAGACGTGGATTCAGTGGCTCCCGTGGGCTGAATATTGGTTTAATACTTCATTACATACCTCTACTCGTTCTACTCCCTTCAAATTGGTGTATGGAAGAGACCCACCTTCCCTTTTCAAGTATGAAGCTTCGGGTCCTACTACTATTGGTGATTTAGAAGAGTCTTTGAAGGCTAGAGATGAGGTGTTGACTGAACTCAAGGGCCAACTTATTAAGGCACAGAATTATATGAAGCAGAGGGCAGATTCCGAGCAGAGAGACGTGGAGTTTCAAGTTGGTGATTTTGTGTATTTAAAGTTGCAGCCCTATCGAATGCGCTCCCTAGCTCGTAAATGGAATGAGAAGCTATCTCCACGCTTCTTTGGCCCTTACAAGGTGCTGCAACGTATCGGACCCGTGGCATACCAGTTAGACTTACCCAGCTCAGCGACGGTGCACCCAGTTTTTCATGTATCACAATTAAAAAAGGTGGTGGGGGATCACACCAGGGTGCAGCCCTTACCCGCAGCCTTGACAGACCAATTAGAATGGGCAGTGGAACCAGAGGATATTAAGGAGCTTCGACAGGGCCCAAACGGACTTGAGGTGTTAGTTCTCTGGAAGCACTTACCAGATTATGAAGCCACGTGGGAGGTAGCATCTGATTTGCACAATCAGTTTCCTGAATTCCACCTTGAGGACAAGGTGAATCTGAAGGGGGAGTAATGTTAGGCCCTTGCTAGTGTATACAAGAAGAAAGGCTAAGAGCAGAAAGAATAAGAGCCCAAGAACTAAAGCTTCAGGCCCAGACGAGTAGAAGAAGATTTTTAGAATGTTTTGCTGATGTGTCATTTATGTTTCTCTTTCTGTTATTGAGTCATGGTGTTGGTACGATTCTGTTAGGACATGTGTGAGGTGTGCTACTGCAGGTCATGATTGGCTGGGTAGGGGATTTTATCTTTTTCTTTTTACTGAGTCATATATATATATATTGTGGGGAAGGAGAGAGGGAGGGGCAGGGGTCATTATTGTAATGGGATCTCAGTTGAGATTATTAGGAGGGTCGCAGCCCCTATAAGTGCTGTTGGGTTATGTTTCTGTCATTGAATTCTTCAATACAATCATCAATTCTTCCTTTCTCTTCCATTTAATCTCTTTTTCGTCTCTTTCTTTTATTCACATTGATTGTATCCTATCAGAATAACACTGCCAACTGAGTTCCAGACTGACTGAGAAGCAATTGACATACAGGAACGGAATGGTAGATAGGTACATTTGATCTTTCAGCTCTGGTGTCATACGAGTATGGGGTACTTACTACCCCCTTGAGAAATTTGCGCACAAACGTTGTTCTCGTTGGATTCCAAGATCGGGGAAAACTAGGGTTTATTAAACAAATGAGACTTGAAAGATTCAATAATTTCTTTATTAAACAAATGCACAAATACAAAATGATAATCCACAATAGAGCTACAGAATCCCAAGCAATGCCAGTTTCATTGCTTGCATTCGAGCTTCGACTCAAGGGGCTTAAACCAGAGACCTCCTAGTTTTGAGCACCACATTTACAAATTTACAATTTAATACAAGGATGAACATTTCCTAATTCTCCAATCAGAGCCAAGGTTTAAAAACCAGCTTTATCTACAACTAAGGAAACTTCATCTTGCCTTCACAAGTGCAGGCAAAACTTTACTAGCGGAAGCACTGACTAACATACTACATTTGCAACTGTGACCTAGTTACTTTTTTATGGACCACCACTCTAATATCTATGAATTTCTCGAACACGAGTTTTTCTTGTAGCCACAAGCTTCCTGACAGAGAACCATTTTAACACACTTGAGATCTTTGCCCATCTCCTCTGAGCTTTATCAACAGCAACGGCTGTAGAGCGCGCCAGCAGGAAGCCATCAACTGCACTTTGTAAATCAGCTTGAGTTTCTAAACTGAGGTTCTGAGACTGAAGATCAGTATCAAAAAACCGCAGATGATCCTCGTCACAGAAAGCTTGAGCCAAGGAATCAGTGTCACAAATGAGGGAGTTGGAGACGTGGCCAGTGAAGTTCAGAGTCTGGTCGTATCTAAGACCCATATTTTCAATACCCTGCAAGGCAAAATCATCTAAGCCACTCACACCCCCAACAGTATATATAGACGACATGATATCTGGAGAAGATGCACTTGGTTGTGCATAATCAAATCCGCCTATCTTTTGTGAAGCCAAAAACTTGCTTCCACTAGAATTCTCTGTACGGGGTGAGCTTGAGGTGTAAGGAACATCAGACAATTGTGAAGAGTCACCCACCAGAGAGGCTTCATCATCAAAAGATATGACTTGCTCCCAGTGCTCAAATGCAGTGATTACCAAGTTTTGAGCATCAGCCTGAAGGCAGAGTTGAGTATAAGATGCCAGAGATTACATATAGAAACAAGGAATGGGAAAAAAAAAGGTAAAAACAAATTGAAGGATATAAGATAATCATGCCTTTTCAGTTTCCGACAGCCTATCAATAGGAACATACTGGCCTTCTGAAAGCAATCCCAAAACTTGTCCCACAACATTAAAGACTACACCAGTTTTCTGTTGAGAAACAGGAGGGCAATACAAGTGTATTCTCTTATCAAGCACACAAGTTCGAGCATGCTCCACAGTAACTTCCCACATCTTAGCAGACATGCCTGTGCCAAGAATCTGCATATAACCAAACAAAAATGTTATTTTTAAGCTGCTCCAGGACTATGGAAACAATCATTTAAAGCAGTGGTAGTTGTTGAAATTCTTGTAAGGTCATAAAACCAGAATGAGACAGACAAAACAAGAGGCATACAGTAAGTTATGTTCCTCTTAGTACATAGTTTTTGATTATCCTGTATGATAATAAATAAGACGTCCATGATGCAGTTCCTAGGGCAATGAAGACGGATGTTTAACTCAGATGGACATAAAGTGTCCACCATGGTACAGAAAAAGTGTCCACCATGGTGCAGAAAAAAGAATACACAAACCAAACCAGTTGGATACAGATTTGATGGGGTTGCATAGATATGTCACGGAAAAATATCAGACAGACTGGTCACAACTTGGGCATCGGCAAAGTCTCAAGTTTATCCCTAGTCCTTACAATGAAAAGCTATTCTAGTTATCAATATGAGAGCTAGATTTTTGTTTTTAAGAAGTTCCTCTCTATTTTCTAATGTTGAAGATAAAAGATTTATGAATGGACCCTCTTAAAAGAAACAAACAGATAAAATCATGAGGACTGTGCTTGGTACCCAAAAGCTTCAGTAAAATATGTCAAGGAGGTATAAATTACACAATATTTATGATAAAAGCAGTTTAATTCTTACATGGCGAAGCCTTGGAGGATCTATAAAGAGAAGAATCAAGAAATCCTTCACAGTATTGATACTCTCCCGACTCAATCGCTTATGGAAAGCTCCATCTTTGCCAATCTTCTCTAATCTCCAAACTTCATCAAACAGAGATGGGGGATGGTGCTTCTTGTACACTGCAAGCACAGACAAATCGTTAAGAGTACAGTATTTTATCTCTGTTTTACATGTTTGCCAAGCTGATAGCTCTTTCTACTGATAACTTTGAATAAGCTTCCGATCATATGTCCAAATCAGACACTTCAGAATGCCAATTTCATTATTATTCATTTCCATCATTCAATTTTCTGCCTCACGTGATCAATAACTTGAATATGTGTAATGCAGAATTTCAAAAAGCTTGCAACTTTGAAGTGCTAAAAATTCTGTAATACAGGCAAAGATTCAAAAATTTTATCTTTGGTCCCAAAGAAATGTGCTCAGTTCAAAAATCAATAACTGACTTGTTTGTTATAGAAAAGGTTTTAAATTTTTCATTCAGCATGCAGATTTTTGAACACAAGTTTTTATTTTTGTTCGATTTAAACAAATTAAAATTTCAATCATTTTCCAAATTGGCCCCTTTTTTGGGACCAAGGAGTGTCAATTTCCTCTGTTGATCTGTCGTGCCATAGTTTTCACAGGGTATAATTATTGCATATCCACCATCAAAGAGAGTTAATGTTTTCAAAATGAAAGTACCCTGAATGACTCTACTCAGAGATATCCTAATCCGATTTTTTTCAGACACCATTTCAATTTCATAGTTTGAGCCAAACAGTAAAGGAATGCCTTAAATAAATACACACACTCACATTCTCCTCGGTGATCCCTGACAATAAAGGATTCTGTCTTTGCTTCCTTTATGCTAGTGCCATCAAAGCTGTCCATAGCTCTTACCCCAAGCCTGAATTTGCGGCTTCTTGTCCAGCTTGAATTATCTGTAAATGAAACCTCACCAACCAAACAAATCCCCTCTTTAAGATTGAGGATTACATCTCCAGTTAGAAGTGGTTTCTTTCCTTCTCTCTCTCTTACAATGTTATTCTTAAATTCATCAGGTGTCCAGTTCTCGCCCTCATCACCATCAAAATCACCCTCAAGAACAACAATTTCCACTCTGGAAGAAGACTCAGGACCAGAGTTGACAATTTTCCCAGTAAGAGTATCCACCAAAACCACTTTTATTGCAGGACCTTCTTCTCCTTCAATGCGAGCTCCAGTGAAAACTGGAAGTGAGAGGTTGTTCGCAAACTGTAGTTTTAAGCTTCTTGATTCAGAAGAATCTCTCTCTTTCCCAATGTTCCTGGAAAAAGAAGCATAAGAAACATAAGCCATACAAAATCCATTACAAGGGTAGTAAGGATCACAATCTTCTAAGCACACATATTTCTCACTTCTTCCTATTACCTTCTAATGGATACATAAATCATTCAACACCTTCAGAACATTGATTCTTACCGTTTCATATTGGCCAAATGTTTCCTTAGAGCTAATTCGACTTCCTCTTTTACCTGTAAAAGCATAATACAAAAAGTTTGTTACCACTTTTATATGATCAATTAAAAATTTCTTCTACATAAACTACAACTACAAGGTGTGGGAGTTCACGAGTAATATGAACTAAAACATTATGGTCCAATTGACAAACCATTTGCTTATTTTTAAATCATCAAAACCAGAGAACTAAGAGATAACACGTCATGTACAACATTCTTCCACAACATCGGAATACTTGTTGATGTAAACTAGAAAAAAAATAAAGGGAAACATCTTAATTTGTTAGCATTCATCATTGAAACACAGCATAGGTTTTCAATGGATATTTTTTGTTCTCAATAGACCGAGCTTAGTCAAGAGACTTGGACAGTCGCTGAAGTACAGCCATTGTATATAATATCGAAAAAAATTTGGTAATGGTAAGATGAACCCAGAGAGTTTAAATGAAGCTAGAAAAAAAAAGCCTGAAGTAGCCAACGGCCAGCTATACCATTAAAAAAGACTTCAATGTCCATTCTAGGTTGGACCTCACTTTCTTCTTCTTATTCACATCATCACTAACAACTTGAAACAAGACACTCCAAACAGCTTATTAGCCATAGACACTTCAATTCAAAATCACTGTAAAGCTTTTATCCTCTGAGAAAGAGACGAGAGAGAGGTGGTGGGAGAGGGAGAAAATAGACAATCTTTGCAATTTGGAACTGCAACTTATTAAGATGTACTTAGGCATGGGGTTCCAGCTGCTTAAGTCTAACAGGCTGAAAGAGACACCATTGTGGTGCTAAGTAGACCTGTTCTCCTCTAGCAAAAAAGAAACGTATTTGTTAACAGAAAGCTCAATAGCTGGAGAAGGCAACAGCAGCGCATACTGGGATCATTTGATCAGAAAATGTCATTATGGAGGGAGCTGCAACTGTCAGAAGGGACAGGGTGGCTTAAATATGCTAATCTAAAGCTGCCATTAATAACAACTGCTCGAATGCAAGCCGCAAAATATGTAAAATGGAGAATGTTATGTTTGTTAGGGTAAATTCAATGCCTTTGTTTGTATGACACATTATTCAAGCTCATAAAAATTGACTAGTTATGCACCCTCTAAGTGCGCCGCTCAACATATTAAATGGAAGGTGCAAGAGCAAATGAGGAAGATGCTGACTACGACATCAAAGCTCAATCAACGGTATGTGAAATAAAACATTCTGCAATACAACTTATAAGGAAAAAAACACATACCACCCTACGAATCAATGGCTCCAGAATTGGCTCTAGCAAATGCTGAACTGATTGCATCTTAATCACCTCCTGAACCACACTAGACATCATTAACAAAAAGATTAGAGACCAAAACGAGAAAAGGGAAAAGAAATCTTCAGTAAGCACAACAATCATATCCAATAATTCCACCCTCCATCCCAATAAAGAGCCAATTCAGGTTTCACTCATCGTCACACTCTGCCTCACAGTTTAAATGACGTTTACTAGAACAGGCCACATTCGCGACCAATCACAAGTAAGAATCAATACAAACCCAAACGAAGTTTTCAAATTTTACAAACTCAACAAAAGAATTTATATCATCAACGCATATTCACCAAAAGACAACCAAACAAACTTCATTTTTAATCCATATGTCCGCATTGCTTCCACAATCTCAATCATAATTCACAACGCAACAACAATACTCACCAAAAAAAAAAAAAACCCCACTTCACTTAGAATCCACCAATATGAAAAAACTCACCTTTTCAAATTGAACCTCCTCCTCTTTTCCTCGGGACTACTATTCCCATCAGAACGAGGCTTACCCTCCTCTGACTGCCTCTTTTGTGCCATAATCACACCCCACAAACACCAACAACAAGAAAGCAACTACCTTTGTAGTTGGTTTTATGTAACAAACACAGGAAGCAATCATGAACAGAAGAAGGCAAAGAGACCAACATGCGGGACAACAACAATAAGATGGAAGTGATAATATACTGAGTATTACTTATATACAGAACAACACACAGCTTAGCTCATAAATGATAATGAAGGAGTAGAATCCAAAAACTATCTCACTTCTTTTTCTTTTTTATCTCTTGTGGGCTATGTATGTATGTATGGATGGATATTATGCATGTATATGTGCTACATCCATCGAATTTGGCTGCATATTGCTAATTATCCTTCTTCTTTCTTCTTTGTTTTGCTGTTGTGCTTTTGGCTGTGTTGGTGTGTAAAAATCGCAACAGTAATTTCGGATTCTGTGAGAGTTGTAGCGTTTTCGTTTGGTGCGGGGGTCCACAGAAAGCGCGTTATGGACTAGGGAGAAGTGGGGTCGTATTTCCTACTAATACAAAGCGCGTGTGACGTCACACTATAAAATCTTATCTTATTCATTAGATTATTATATTCATTATCTTTAATTTCACCTGTCTTCAATTTTATTTTTCACTCCGTACGTTGCGCAGAAACTCTATTGTTATTTTTATTTGCTTATAAAAGCACCCAAAAAAAAAACAATTATGTGTGTCAATGGAAGCAGAAATCTCTCTGTTTTTTTTTTTTTAACCGTGTTTTTTATTTTTTTATTTTTTTTTGTTTTAAGTTCAGTTTTTATCTTAAAAGTGTTTCTTTGGTAACTATTGAACTAACTTTTTTCTATCATAATCTAATCCCTCTGCTCTATTTTTTCCATTCTAATCTTATTTTTATCAAATTTAAAAAATATATATATATATATATATATATATATATATATATAGAAAAAATAAATACATATCCGTTCATTCTCTATGTAAATTAAAAAAAAAACTAAAAACATCTGAAGTTAAAAATATTTTTTATCCAAAATATCATTTATGGATTTAAATTTATTTCGATGATAATAAACAAATTTTAAATATAAAATAAAATTTTTATAGTATTTTTAAAAAATATAAAGAGATTTTTAGTTAAATTTTAAATTTTTGAATAGTATTTATAATTTTATAATACCTCAAAAGAGTGTGCTATAGTTTAATTATTTTAATTTAATAAATTTCTTAATTTTAAAATTTTACTTAAAACACTTTTCATATTTAAAAGAAATCCTATAAAATTTTTATTTTATATTGAAAATTTATTTATTATCATACGGACATATTTAATAATATAAATATTTCATTTATGCTTAAAATTTGTTTAGTATCATAGAAACAAATTTAAACTCATAAAAGAATCTTGGATAAAAAAATATTTTTATTCATCGTTTTTTTATTTTTTATTTTTTGAGAGAATGATCGAATATTTCTTTAAATTTTTTTATTTTTCAAATTTTATTTATTTAAATTTGATAAAAAAATATTAAAATAAAAAAATAGAGTGGAGAAGTGAGATTAAGATAGAAAAAAAAAAAAAGGTTAATACCGTTATTTCAAAAGTTAACGAATGGACGAAATTAAAACAAAAGCCAAATATAGAAAAATGAACTTGAGATGAAAAAATAAATAAATAAAACATGATAAAGATAAAAAAAAAAAAAAAAAAAAGAATAACAAGACTTATGCAACCATTAATCTAAATATATATATAGTGATTTTGAATATGCCTGAGAAGGGTGATTTTTTATTTTATTTTATTTTATTTATTTATTTATTGCACCTTTAATATGTGAGTAAAGCAATGCTACAAACATGCACAAACAAATCATTTAATCATAGAAAAAATAATCTAGTGGTTACTCTTCTTAAGTTTAACCAATCACTTAATACTTTTGTACCCCATATATTTACGACTTAGGGTTGTTTAGTAGGGGGCAGAGGATGTTATATTGTCCTCGTAAAATTTAAGCTTGTTTGTCTTCTTCTTTTTTTTTTTCTCTTTCAAAATACATACCAAATTAATTTTTAATCGTCTCTCTCAACATTACTAATAATTTAATTATTTCCCCCTTTTTTTTTACCAATATTTAACCCTTCAATTTATGAAAACACGTTAAAAACCAACTTTTACAGCCCCAAAAAATGCTCTTATAGTTATTACTCCAACAACAACTCACTTTCATATTTTCTAATATCGTACCAAATGCCACCTTATCGTTTGATACATTAGTTTGTAGAAAATATAGTATGATTTTATTTTATTTTATTAACAATAAGAAATTAATTCTATTTATGAAATATGTTGACAAAGATGGTAGTAATAATTACTCTTTGTTCCAAAAATATTGTTTGCCTTTCTTTACAATAAAAATAAAGGAGCTAGATCACATCCTTGGTAATCTTCTATACAATAATAGTAAAATAGATGCGGTGAAATGTGACGTCTCTAACACCTTATACATGTCATACTAACTTAGTTTTTTTTTTTTCATATAAACATAATGATAATTGGCTTGTTTGGTTTTTTTTTTTTTCTCTTTCAAAATATATACCAAATTAATTTTTAATTGTCTCTCATCAAACGCTACTAATAATTTAATTACTTTCTCTTTCTTTCCACTAGCATTTAACCCTTCAATTTATGAATACACCAAACATTTTTAAAAACTAGCTTCTACAACCTTAAGAATTGCTCTTATAGCAATTACTCCAACAACATTTTACTTTCATTTTTTTAACCTCGCACCAAATGCCACATTATCGTTTGAAACATTAGCTTCTCCAACCTTAATAATGATTTTTTTCAAAAAGATTGTTTGTGTTCTTATGCAATTAAAAAAAAAAAAAATTTAAAATTTTTTTTTTAAAGGTAGAGTCTGGATCACATCCTTACTAATCTTCGATACAATATTAGTACGATGGATGTAATGAGATATATGCTTCTAACACCTAACGTGTGCCATGCCGATCGAGTTTTTTTCTTTTTTTTAGATTTTTTTTTCATTTCATGTGTAATGATAATTGCTTTTAATAATTAAAAAGTTTGTAACTCGAGTGTTAGTGGTCTTTTGTAACTCGAGTGTTAGTGGTCTTTTGTAACAAGAGATCACGGGTTCAAATCTTAATATGTTAGTTATGCTAAGAGCCTTACGCGTGTGAGTTGAAAAAAATAATAAAAAAAAAAAGATAATTGCTTTTAATATTTTCTTTGCATATTAAATGGAAAAAGAAGTTACAATAATATTAATACAATTAATCATTGTGATATTAAATAATTTTAATTGTTATTAATAATTATTACAATCATTATTGTTGTGAGTTTATTAAAAAATTAATTATAGTTTAATAATTAATTTATTATTTATTCTCTTTCTATATAAATGTCACGACCACTAGGAGTAGGCCATGATCAAAATGAGAATCAAGAGAATCATTAGGCTCATCTCGACCCAAGCAGACCTCGGATACTTATCTAGAGTTCTCAAACCATTGACATATCAAATATCAGTTCATTTCACAATATTTCCAACTAACATTCATTACTTTAAATTTCCAACACAAATCATAAATCAATGTTATTCTTGCATTTTTCCAATCAATATTCTTAATTTATCTCTAATACATCACCCACAAGATATAACCGCAAATCTTCTAAGAATACATCAAAAACAAAGATAGGTTCTAGGAATTACAATTAAATGAGTCACACAATCAAAGTGTTGACTTTTAGACAAGCAACCAAAATGAAGCAAAAGTGCAATCCATTAATATCCTGTAAAATTGAAGTAATGAAGGGTGAGATTTTAACTTCTTAATGAGTAGACATTACATAACACACTACGAAAAGGAAACGGACTAAGAACGATAATTTAAAATTCAACTCAACATGTCATACTAGTTTTTTCAAAACACATGGATATTGCAAAACCAAATCGTACGTCATACTCAAATGGTTCAAAACCATTTCATATCAAATCTTCAAGTTATACATATATATCGTATTCATATCAAAATACATATCTAGGTTTTTATACACTCGTGCGATAAATAATGTATCATGGGATGCAAACATCCAAAGATCCTCGTACTAGGTTTACGTATATTGGCCAACACATAGGCTAACACTACACCTCTGCTCGCTAGCCGGAGCCTCGTATCATTGAGCTCAAAGGCTACGTGGTCCGTAGCTAAGTTTCTTAGGGTCTCGAAAACGAGTTTCAAAAACCATATAACTTATACTTATTTCAAATCAGCATTTCAAACACAATGCATGCTCAAATTTTACTTGATATATCAAATAAGCATTCACGGAAAATATATGGCTAATCAAAATAACAATTTAAAATGCATTCATATTCAAATTCAAATTCACATATCCAATCGGATCACATTCGCTTAAACACATGCTCATATCAAATCATTTTTAGATATGAAATCATTTCAAATATTCATGGAGTCCATTCCCATCTAAGTTCTAATGGAATTCTTTTAAATCATACTAAAATCAAAGATGCATGTTATAATTATCAAATAAATTCAAGAAAAACATAATAGGTTATATAATATCCATCATAGCACAATTTCAAGAATCTAATGGATTGAACGGATCAAGATTGTTATGAATGAGTCATTTGCTTTGAAGAATCTAGTAACACAAGATGATGGAACGACCATCAATATCGTATATTGAAGAATAATTCAAAAAAATTGAATTATTCAAAAATCAAGAATACTAGATTATCAATAAAGTAGAATTGACTAGAAGGACTCTATCCGAAAACCTTAACTAAACTCTATAATCTCTCCAACAATTATAAACAATTGCCTAACCATACACCATCATCAATTCCCAATTTAATAAACATTTAAACAATAAATTTTTAATTAAATGATCAATTCTATTCTAATTCACCCAATACTTATTCTATTCACTTTTAATTGCATTTATAAAGCTTAATTCCTTTTTTTTTAAATTCAATTAAAACCTAA